AGGCTGACAGTGATGGTTTCGAGCTGGAACATTTGGACTTAGGGTGCGTGGAAACCAAGGTCTAGCAGACTGATTGGGTACTTATGTGGAGCTTACTTGGAAAGGCACATTTGTAGGTGCCTGGGAATGCCATGGGGGTAAGTGGGGTCACCTGGGAGAATGGAACTCACCATGGGGCCAAGGTCAAGGGCAAGGGGAAGTTCACAGGGACCCCCACAGAAGAATATTTGTGTAAAACCTCACCATTGACTCAGTAAGCTAACAAACTGCTAGATACACTATTTTTCTCTCCTTCTGCCCCGACAAATAATATACTTTCATGATGACCTGGGAGACCACATTCAACTTTGGCTTTCTCAGACTCCTTGCATTTCACTTTGAAGAGAGGCAACATGCAGAGAACTGGCTCCAAGCCTCAGTCTGGCACAGTTCTCTGCCTGTCCCTGAAGGGCTGCTGTGTGTGCATGTGGGCATCTCAACCTGTAAGCTCTGTCCGCCACCATCCGGGCCACCAGCCATCTGCTGCCCACCCCTCCTCCTGAGGACATACACTCCAACAGCATGGCCACCCTGTGAAGGGTAGACCCAAGAAAGAGCCCACCATGGACCAGGGAACCAGCTCAGGACTCTGGACAGGGAATCGTTTACTCCTGGGTACTCAGGGACTGGTCTACAGGTGGGGTGGCATCCTGGACTCTCAGTTGGAATGTCCTCTTGGCCTGGGAGGCCACATGCCAGCAATGGGAACTGGTCGGCCTGAAGTGTGGGGTTACGTTCTGCAGTTAAACTCTGGAGTGGCGCATTGCTCTGTGCAATTACACTCTGGAGTGGGGCATTGGTTTCTGCAACTACACTCTGGAGTGGGGCATTGGTTTCTGCGATTACACTCTGGAGTGGGGCATTGCTCTCTGCAATTACACTCTGGAGTGGGGCATTACTTTCTGAAATTCTGCTCTAGGATTGGTGGATTTCAAAGGGAAGCACACTTGTGATGTGAACGCTACCCTCTGTCCCCCTGAAAAGAAGCTGACAGGGCTCCAGAAGTCAGTGGTGCATTTCTGAAGTGTCTGGGGATTTCTTGAATCCCAAGTGACTGGAACAAACACTGGTCTGTGTCTCACCTCCCGTTTTCTACTGCTGCCTTGAGGGCATCACTGTGGAATTGGCCCTGGCGGCAGATTTGTATTGAATCGTTACATATTCATGGGGCTGTGTTAGTACTGACAGTGGGAACAAGCTCCGAAAAGATGGAAATAGGGTTTTTTCCCTATTCAGAATTTTCTGGGTTTTTTTAGTCAGTCTGGGCACTTTGCAGTGCATCAGTGAATATAACTTGGTTCATTCTGTGAAAATCAAATAAGTAAAAAGCTAGCAATGTATTTCTGCCACAGATGATTTTTATTTGCATTTTGAAGTGTTTCGATGAATTGGATCACAAAACTAATTGAATCAGAGATGAATTTTGCTCAGGAAGTTCAAGTATTTTATGATGTAAAATTATCATAAGAAATTGACCTAATTATTCAGAAGTTTCTGGTACAAAAATCTAATACACTTTTGAAAGACTTCCAAAGAAACAAGCCCAGGAATACGGCTCCCTCATGGCAAAGAAACACTCTTATTTATTTATCTCCTAAGAAGTATAGCTTTTAGCTTACAAGAACACCGCTTCAGGATGTATTGTATAAATGTATTATGCTAGTTTTAAAGGCTTCAATTCTTCAAAGTCAGTTTTCTATTGTGAATATACGCCTCTGTCACTGTAACTGTCGGTTAATTACGAGTGTGATTCTTGCATTTAACTGCCTCAGCCTTGCTCAGTCCATGTGTAAGTAGCCTACAACCTGGACCTTTTATTTTTAATATTGAGGAAGCACTGGTATGTTTTTATATTACAATAGATTAAAATCCCAGAAGACCTCCATGTGATAACCATTATCAAAATTTTTGCTTCCTTTGAAGTTTTTGGAAAATGTAGCTGGGGCTTGGCTTGTCCAAAGGTTAGACTTTCTCCTGATGACTCAGGATTTGTAGAGATATGAGGAGAGTTATTTATCTTTCACTGGGAGCAGCTGGAAAAGATTTAGGGAAATACGTTGATTGGCGCGGTGCAGCCCAGCTAGGACCACATACCACTGTGTTCTTTCCTCCGGAGTTGATATCAGGCTGTGGTGTCGAGATTTTTCTGTTTTTTTTCTGGCCTTTCCGGTCCTCTGCCCTTTTCTGCCGGGACTCTATCTCTGGTGGGGCCGTGTACCTGGTTGCTTACTGCTGCCTTTAATCTACCCTGCTCCATGCAGACACCAGTAATTGTGCCATCTGCGTGTAAGCTTGCTCTGCATGTACAGCTGGAGACCTGCCCTCCCCTCAAGGACGCGTCAGACAAACAGGCCAGGAGCCAAAAGCTGTGTTTGCTGCGCAGACACGCCTCCAGACCAGGCGTCGGGTGCTTCCTTCCCACCCAAGGGCCATTCATTCATCCCTGCTACTCACAAGTCTTCTTCTTCCTTGTTATTGAAATTATTGGGGTGACACTGGTTAACAACATTACATAGGGTTCAGGGGCATAATTCCACAGCACATCATCTGTACACTGTCTTGTGTGTTTACCACTCTATTATCCCCCTTTACCCTCTTCCACCTTCCCCAGCAATCGCCACGCTGTTGTCGGTGTCAATGAATTTTTCCTCTTTTTTGCTCAATCCCTCCACCCCTTCTCTCAGCCTCCCAACCTTCTCCCCTCCCCCAGCAGCTGTCAGCCTGCTCTCTACCTGTGAGTCTGTCTCTGTTTTGCTTGTTCATTAATTTCGTTCATTAGATTCCACATATGAGTGAAACCATATGGTACTTGTCTTTCTCTGCCTGGCTTATTTCACTTAGCCTCATGTTCTCCAGGTCCATCCATGCTGTCACAAAGGCTAAGATTTCCTACATTTTTACAGCTGAGTAATTCCTTCTTGTAAATGTACCACGGCTTTTTTATTCCCTCATCTACTGATGGGCGCTTGAGCGGCTTCCAGATTTGGCTGTTGCAAATAATGCTGCCATGCAGATAGGGGTGCGCACGTTCTTTCCAATTGGTGTTTTGGGTTCTTCGGATAAATTCTATTCGCAAGTTTTAGAGCCACCAGCCCTATGGCCCCAACAACCTTCATGTTGCATTCAACTGATTTGCAAAAAAAAAAAATTCCGTGTGGTTTACTAACACATTTTCTCCAGAGGGAGGTGGGCCATGCAGGCTGTAGAAGCTGTGGGAAGGAACTATATTTGTTACGATCCAGAAAGTTTCGAGAAGCCAGCGGGGAAGTCTTGGCCAGTGGCACATAGGTTCCGCTGCATGCATAGTTCCGAACAATGGCAGCGTGGCACCAGGCACTGGGTTGAAGGGAATTCTGAGGCCCCTGTGACAAGGAAAGGATGGATACTACGTGACCTACTCGATGCTGAGGGTGACTGCCAGGTTTCAGGAAGTCACAGTGGACAGTGATGCTGTTTGCCAGGACAGGGGTCACTGGAGGGGCTCAGGTTGAAGAGAGTCTCTCTGTCCCTTGTCCCATCGATAGGACCTCAGGTCAGTGCCTGAGAGTTCTCTATTCTCCGCACCCTCGTCTGCTTCATTTACCTCCTGTCCGCTTGGTAATTGCCACTCTGACAGGTGTGAGGAGATAGCTCATGTGGTTTTGACTTACATTTTCCTGGTGGTTAGTGATGTTGAGCACCTTGGATGTGCCTGTTGGCTATTTGTGTGTCTTCTTTGGAGGAAGGCCCGTTCAGATCCTTTGTCCATTTTTGAATTGTGTTATTTGTATTTTGCTGTTGAGTTGTATGATTTCCTTTTTACATTTTAAGTATTGACCCCTTATTAGGTATACGGTTTGCAAATATTTCCCCAATTTTATTCATTCTAAAATGATCCTAAAATTAATAATAATAATAATTGTAGCATCATATAAATGTTAGTTATTTTGAGAAAGAAGGAAAAATCTTCCAGTTGGTATGCAGGGCATCTGAGTAAGTCACATGAAGGTGGCCTGCTTGGAGCACTGGGCTTCCACCCCCCTCCCCCCACGGGTCTAGTTCAGAATTTTCAAGGAGACATAAAGCCAGGGCCTTAGATATCATAAGACCTGGCCTGGGCCATTCTCTTGGCCTTCATGCCCTGTGAGGCCCCATCACCCCTGTGGCAATGACCTCTAATTTCCACCATGGCGGAGAATCCAAGGGGACATAGCTGTGGAACATAGTTTAGAATCGGGACTGCCCCGGGAAATCTAAGGTTTAAAACTGTAAATACATATTATATATTTAGCATATATAATCAACACAACAATCAGCAGAATAAAAATATATGTGCACACATAAGTATTTGAAAAATTGCCTTGAAACACTTGAATAAAATTGACTAAAAGGAGGTATACTCTACTAAAATTTTGACAAGACTTCCAAATGGTGAATTATTATTTTTGTATTTTCTGAATGTTGGCAATTTGGATATATTGTTTTTACGAACATAAAACTGATTATGTGTAAGTATAAAATTATTTAAGGTAAGTGTACAGTAAGACATTGGAAATTTTCTAACCCCAGCCTTACACTTAACCACATTTTGAAACATTCTGCAGTGGGGATGGACTGGCTCTATAGAGACATATATATAAAACATCATGTCCCACTGAGTTAAAAAATGAATTTATCCTGCTTTAATACATTCCAAGCTCCCAGAGTCAAGTCAGAAGTGTTCGATCTGTGGTACCCCAATTTCCCTCTGCTGGTCCCGAAGTTGCCAAAGGGACTGAGGGCCATCGCTGGGCTGACTTCCCTGCCACTGCCAGGTTGGGAGGGGACAGCAGAGCTTGGGCGAAGTCACGCTGGAGAGAAGGCTGGCCGCATCCGGCTTTCCATCTGCAAACACCCTCCCTGTGTCTTGTATAAGTACAACTATGGTGGGACACACGGACCTTCTGACACAATCTCTTTTGTTTCGGGCAAAAACAAAACAGGCAAGATGGGGCCTCCTCTGCACGTCGCGCTGGACGCACTGAACTGCACGGCTTTCAGCATCCAGTGGAAAATGCCCAGGCACCCCAGGCGCCCCATCACTGGGTATACCGTGAGTACCTGGGCCCTGGGGGACCCCGCAGCGCTGGCCTGGGCTGCCCGCGCGCTCCTCTGTCAGCCCTGCCCTGTGGATCCCTGCCCCACGCTCCCTCCTGAAACCAGAGGAGGCAACCCCCCTCCCCAGGGCACTTGTAAGTGCCCTGAAAGTCAGTTAGGGTCTGCCCACCCTTCCCCCATTCAGAGAGGACATGATTCCTGTGTCCTGTTGTCTGCAGTCAAATTTAGAGGAAAGCAGACCCACGGGAGATACATAGTCCCTATGGAATGTTGTCAATACAAAAGAAAGTCAAATGTGAATTAGAGGAAGGGGGGGACTGGCCAGGTGGAGAAGGGAAGAGAGGATACGTCCCTGCCTATCGGAGTTTACCCTTTGGAGTGACTACACTTTCACCAAAATCTTTTCTTTGAACAGTGTTTTTGAAATGAGTCAACTTTTAGAAGTCAGAAGATTTCGAATAAATATTTGGAGATCTCAGATCTCTGGGGGTATTGGGAGCGCTGGCCGCCCTGGGCCACTGTTCTCCTGGGGCACCACACGGACTGGAGCTGCCTGCCCGCTTCAGATGGGACGGATGCCCCGCGCTGCACCCAGTGACATTCCAGACCCCCTCACCCTCCTGTCACCCTCTCACCAAGGGAGGGTGGCCACTTATCAGTGCCCTTGTCCTGCTGTCTTCTTGAAGTAGAGAAATTGTGTTTCCCGGTTCATGTAGCAAACGTGGGAAAGCGAAAGGTTACTTGACAGGCGTGGTTTTCAGAAAAACAACAGAAGCTGGGGCCAGCCCTCCCCGGCCTGTGCCCCCAGACAGGAGGCCCGGTCTGGCTCTGCGGGGCTCCGGGCCGGCGGATGGCCTGGCCAGCTGTCTGATGCTTGCTGCCGGGCAGAGCAGTGTGTGAGGGGCCGGGCACCTCGGGGGTCCCCTGCGGAGCCCGTGCGTCCAGCACGCAGGCTCGGTGGGCTGCAGAAGTCCCGCCCCCCTTACCCCGGTGTCTGCGGCTTTCCCAGGTCTTTTACAATGCCGTGGGCGAGGATAAACCCCCGCAGGAGCGGCACCACGGCGTGCGGCTGGGCCAGGACATCGCCACCCACGTGAGTACCTGCGTGCCAAGCACCCCTGGGGCTGGCCTTTCAATGACACGCGGGAGTGTTTCTACTTTGGGGGGGATGTGTGCCTACATACGCAACAACAGCAGGGAATGTGTGTTCCGTGGTCCTTGGGAGTGTGAGGCTGCCTTTCACGCCCATGCATGTTTGCACCTGTGGGAAGGCAGCCACAGGAAGAAAGTTCTGGCACCAGCGCTCGAATTCTGGACTCAAGCCCCCGGCTCATCATGCAGGGAAAAGCCAACTTTCAGCTGTTTTCCCCTTCTTTTTTCAAAAAGTTCAAGTTCAAGTGTTTTGAAATCTCAGTAAACCTTTATCCACAAACATGACACATCTGTGCCCTCACCACCGCCCGGGGACACAACGCAGAAGAAAATGACGTCATCTGAAGTGTACATTCGAGGGTCCACATTATTCTCCTCCTGGAGCCGGCTCCCCTGTCCTTCACCGACCGATCATTGCTGGCTTTTCTTCATCTGTTTCTTCTGTTTGCTGTCACGGTCTCGCCGGGTGAATTTTTCTGTCTTAGGCATTTTCTCTCTTCTCTTGCTCCCCTTCCCTGCTCTGCAACTGCCCCGCAGGCCAGGGCCTCGCCCGGCTCTCTGCGAGGAGCTGGCATTCGTGCCCAGAATGCCACTTCGGGGCAGCTCGAGGTCACACTGGGAACTCCCGTGGGGTGTGTGCCTTCCGGGCGCTGCGCATGGAAACCGATTTGTCCTGGCGATAAGTCGCTGCCCCTTCCTGAGCATCGGTTACCTGCCAGGCTCTAGCCCTCATTTGCTTTTCTGTGTAATCTTCATGACTATCCTGTGGCCTCATTTTAGTGACAGCAAGGATGCTGAGACTCAGCTGATATGACTGTACCCAATCACACGTTAGCCCATGGCAGAGTCGACGGTAACCCGGGGCCTCTGAGCTGCGCTCTGGCTGTGCGGCTCCACACACGGCCAGTGCTCTGGCAGGGGCCCCACGACCCCAAAAGACAAGCGTTTTCACCTTGCGCGGACTTCGCATGATTTGCTTTTGATCCCAGACTTCTGCTCCAACCCCCCTCATCTGCCTCAGCAGAAACCCTCGGCCCTAAGCTCTGGGGCCGACTCTGTCCTAACGGGGGCCTTGGGTTGGCCTTGCCTAGGAACCATCCACCGGGGGTCCGCCTCCTCTCGGCTGCACTGGCAGTGCCAACAAGCCAGGGGCCCATCAGGGGGCTGGCACCGTCTTAGCAGTGTCCCTAGCCACGTGCCTGCTGTCCTGCGGTGAGTGTGGCTGCAGCAGTCCAGGCAGGGAGGGCACAGGCCTGGGACAGGTGTTCTGGAGTCAGCACAGTGTCTCAGATCGAGATCCTGCACTGCCATGTGAACCTGGGCTGGACACTCGGGCCCCTCGAATGTGTGATTTGGATTTCATGGCCTTAGTGGGACGGCCGCTGCAGTGCCAACACAAAACAGAGGACCAGGAGGGGACAGGCACCGGGTTTCTGGACCCCCTTCCTGTACTTGCAGCTTGGTGACTCTGTCCGAAGTCCCTTATCCTGTCTGAACCCACCTTTCCCCCATGGAAGGGGTGTGATAATCACCCCCTGGCGGGTGCCAACCAAGGCCGTGTCTGTGGAAGCCTTTGGTAAAATGCGAAAGCAGCTGCACAGATGTCCGTCGTCACCCCCGACGGTCACTGCCTTTGTGTGGGAAATGTGCCCTCTCTGTTGGGTGCAGCCAGGCGTGAGAGGATGCGGTCTGGTCACGGCGTTTGCCCGCCTTGCGGGTTTCACGTACCTTCCAGGTGGCTGCTGTTCTCACCAGAAAAGCAGAGCCCCTGTTCCTGGGCAACTCTCAGGCTTGTGGGAAAAACCACAGTCGCTCTGACTGAGCAGTTAGGGAGCAACAGGAGGTCAAATGTCATTAACATGCCACTTACCAGGCAGGCTGAGGTGCTGAAGAGGCAGAAATTCATGTAGGAGCAAGTGCTCGAGAGGTAGAATTTGGGGCTAAGAACTGAAGCCAGGCTGTTTCTGGGAAGGTGAAAGGGGGGGGGGGCCGTTCAGATCAACGGGAATGAGTGTGCGTGTGTGGGTACAAGCCCGCTGCTGCGGGTGTGGGTGGGGGTGGGGCACACGTGGAACGTGAAGCCTGGAGAGAGGAAATAACGACCAGTAAAGGCAGTGAGTCGGGAAGAGGGCAGAGGGGGCCCTGGATTCGGGCGGCCCGCATTGCGGCCAGCCAGCTGGTAACCTCACTGGTCTCAGTTGACCCACCAGTGCAACAGGGGGTCAAATAGCACCTATCCACAGATAGCGGGTCTCCGGTTCCAAACCGCCGGCCAGGGTGCTCCAGGGCCCTGCAGCCAATCCCTGGGGCACTGTGGGATGTTTGAACTTGGGTTTTCAAAGGAAACAGCTGCTGCGCCAGCTAGTACGACCTGGTCGATTGGGTGTAACTACCGGACCAGGGAGCTGCTAGGCATTTCTTTTGGACTAGAGGTGCTGTAAAAATCCTGCTGAGGCACTAAAGGTGACGTGAACAGCGGCATTGTGGGGCGCTCTGCCCTGTATCATGTCATCCTGGAGCATCCTGTTATGTTAGAGCATTAGATGAGGTCACGGTCACAGAGCCCTCAGCGCACCCCCCGCACGGAGGACGAGCCAGGCGAGGGGTCCGCGGTCTCTGTTGTGCAGGGAGGCTGGGCGGCCCTGGGCGGGGCTGGGCAGGGCAGGGCGGGGTGGAGGTGGTCCCTAGGGGGGCAGGGGGGGCGACCCTGGGAGGGCGCACTTCTCTCCTGGAGGTTTTCCCTTCCTCTTCATGGTGGCTTGTTTTCTCCTCTGCAGGGGCAGTCTGGTCATCGGGTGATCTTTGTAAGTATGCTTTTGGAACCTTTGGGAAGTTAAACTTTTGCCCCAACCCAGGATTCGGGGGCTGTCTTTTGATCAAAATGTTACTTTTCCCACATCTCCCTCTCACTGACGAAGGCACACTACCCCAGGTGAATTGTTAGTCGTTTGGGAAGATGCCACCTTTTTTTTTTTAATCTTCACCTGAGGCTGTTTATTGGTTTTGAGAGAGACAGACAGAGTTAGACAGATAGACAGACATCAGCATGAGAGAGGAGCATCGATCGTTTGCCTCCCACTCACGCCCTGACTGGGTATTGATCCTGAAACCTATGTATGTGCCCTGACCGAGGATCAAACCTGCGACCTTTCAGTGTGCGGGACGGTGCTCCAGCCAACTGAGCCACCCGGCCAGGGCAGGACGAAGGCAGCTTTGTTTGCACCGCTTCCTCTCACACAGCAGAGTAAGGTCAAGAGCGTTATTCTTAGGAGTCGAAGTGATTTTAGCTTCGTTCCAAAACTGGGTGGCAAAGACTGAAACAAAAAGAAAACCCTTACAGCAGTGAGCACCGCTGTGGGGGTGGTTCCCCTCCGGCTGCTCCGGGCCACCTAGAGCTGGGGGCTTGCCTTCTTGGATCAAATGCCGAGCAAAAGATTGGGTCGACAAATGATGAAATGGCCCATATTTCCTGGCTGAAGAATTCTGAGGCATTCTTTGATAATCTGATCATCTGCCTGTGTGAAGACTTCTGATTTGATTAGCATTTGACACTCTTTCTTAGAAGAGCAACCTACGATTTCATCCTGGAAAAATAAATAATAAATCAGGGCAAGCTGGTCCTTTCTTAGAGATAGAGGAAAGGATGTTTAACCTGGCAGTCTCTGCACTTTTTGATCATGCATACCATCAGTTAATAAATATTTGAACATGTAACAATATATGTATGTTATGTACTTATTAATTATACATATGCTACTCTACTGATGCATTATATGCTGTAGAAATCCCACAGGATTTGAAAGGAGGAGAATAAACAAATAGAAAGTTCTCCTGTTTCATCTCGATAGCTTGTCTCCCCCTCCTGGGGACGTACCACCACCCTGCTCGGGGCCCCTCTGCTCTTGTGGGCCCAGGCAGTGATTCTGCTTGGATCTTACTCAAGGTCAGAGAGACACAGCTTAGCCAGGAATCCTGAGACTGCACCTGGCCCTGTCACCAGAGCAAGGGTCACCTTGGGCAAGGCCACCAAACCCCTCTGAATGTCCCTTTGACTGTAAAATGAAAGGCTTAATGAGTGATGTTCCCCAACCCAGGGTTCCTTTGTCCCCTGCAGGGCATGTGTGGGTATTTGACTGGACAGGCTTCAGGGAAGCCTTGCAATAAACAGGACAGGCCCATTTGAGAAAGGTTTGTCCTGGCCCAAAGCCACTGCCGCCCCTCCTGCGAACCCCTGGAGGGGGCTCTCTAACTGTCTGTGGCCACCCAGGGGGTGGAGTCCCCCCAACCCCGCCCTCCACTCTGGCCGGCACATCCTCTCTCCGCACCTTTGGGAGAAGCATGTTTTAAAGAAAGGGCTCTTCTCTCTTTGTGGTGCCTTCCATCTGATGATGCTAGAAGATACTGCCAGCTGAGAGCCAGCCCTGACTTGCAGAGTTGAATCCAAGGTTACCAGCTGCCAGTGTGAGTTACAGAAGAAGCATCGTAGGATTTCAGTGTTGGAACACTGGCCAGCGCAGTTGAGTGGCCCAGCCGTTGGGCCAGACCCTGAGTCCTCTGGCTCCCCTTCCAGGGCTCTCACTCCGGGCCTCCGCTGAGCCCTGTGAACGGGACCTCTCCCAGTGTGGTGGCCCTGTGTCTGGCTAGCGAGCAAGACGGCTTGTGGTGTCATTTTTGGAAACCCAGCAGAGGGAGAGAATGCGGCACAGGAGGGAGTGACGGTGAGGTCTGAGATCGGGGTCTAGTACTTACGTGCTGATTTGCAGTGATACCTTAAATTTCTGGTACATAAACTCCTGTGTTCATAGATAAACTAATAATCACCTGGCCTTTGGTGCTTATGAAAAGTATATGTTTTGTAGATCTAAATATTATCTAGTGTTTTTTCATCCACGTATTGTAGAATTAGAGTCTGGGCCTTGGAGTCTTAAAATGCTCACCTTGTCACTTTATAAATCTATGTCCTAGAGAAATAGTTCCCTTTCTAGGGATTCCCTTTATCTTCTATAAATGAAAATGAGAGTGAGCCCCACCTCCCAGGACTGAAGGAAGGATTCGGCCGGGCCGTGTGTGTTCCCGGAGCAGAGAAAGCACACGTGGTAACTAGCGGTGGCCGTATTGGGTATTGGCTCACAGCTAATGCCTACAGTAACCCGTGAGCCCACAGCAGTACCTCTGCCCTTCACACAACATAATGAATTCACAGGGGAAAAGACCCTGAAGCGAAAGCCTGTGAGAACAGCATGTGGTTTGAAACAGTGCCTCTGCTTCTGTGGGAAAAGCCAGGCCTGCAGTCGGGAGCCTAGTGAGAACCGAGTCTTGTGCCTGCCTGCTATGTCCAGTCTCTCAACCCAACTTGACATTCAACCCAGGGTCAGAGGGTGGAACTCAGGTGCCCAGATTCAGGAATTCCAGCAGGAGGGGCTGTGGAAGCAGGTCCGTGTGTTCAGTAAAGGATCTTCATGGAGCCGCGTGTAGGCTAGAGTAGGGGCGGGAGGGCGGGATTGGAGACAGACACTCTCCAGGGGGCTGTCGAAGCGGCCCAGGCCAGGATTCGGAGGAAGTGGAAGAGGGGAGCAGGTCTGAGGGGCGTGTGCTGGTGGCCGGAGCGAGGTGGGTAAGGGAGTCAGCCCTGTCCCTGGTCTTACTAACCCCAGGGCTTGAGCAGAAGTGCAGATGCTGTTCGTCGGAGTGGAGGGGCCAGCAGTAGGCCTGTAGGAGGATGTCCACTTACTCGGGGCGTTGGATGGCTTAATTCCTTTTCTTTGTGCATTCACGAGTTAACGTACTTGTCCGTCAAAAAGCATTGCTTAGGCCTTTGCTACATATCTGATAACACTATGCTAAGCCTTGGGATGCCAGAGAATTAAGAACTGGCTTCCTGCCCTCAGCTGGGTGGAGAGAAGGTGACAGACAAACTGACAATTACAGCATAAGGTGAGCGCTGTTGACACCGAGGTACACCAAGGACACTGGCGATCAGAGAGGAGGGGGCCCAACCGGAAACCAGGCTGGAGTCTAGGGGTCAAAGGAATGAGGTAACGTCTCAGCTGAACTGAGTCATGCAGGGTGGGCAGGGGTGCGCCCAGCAAGACCGAGGAGAAGGCACTTCATGTAGAGGGAGCAGCAGGTTCAAAGGCCCAAAGACACGGGATTGAATGGTATAAATTTGAGCCCTGCCAAGTTCTCAAGTCTGACTGGAATACGGATGCACGGAAGCCAGGTGATGCTGGAAGGATTAAACGGGGACACAGATGTGCTCTTCTGAGGAGTGTTGAGGTGGGAAGGGACACGGTCGGATTCGGGGTTCAGGAAGGCAGCTCCAGCAGGGTGGAGTCTGTACTGGAGGAGCAGGCGGAGTTGGCGGCGGGGAGAGTTGGAGCCCATTGTCAGAGTTACCGGGGCTTGGACTGGAGTGTCTGTGAGGACCCTGTGACACAGCCAGGTCCGGGTGAAATGACAGTGCTGGTTGCTGTGTGGGGACCGTGTTGATGGTGGAGGGGGAGGGTGGTGAACCGAGGAGGGTGTCAGGAGTTTCCGGTTTGGGTAATGAGGGAGAGGACAGGAGGTGCAGCCAAGTTTAGTTTCGTTTTCGGTGGGAGGCAGAGGAAGGATTCGCTGATCTTTGGTTCACTGAACCAACGTAATCTTTGGTTACGTTGAATCTGAGTTGCTGGGTAGCTGTCGGGTAAAGATGTTCGAGAGGCCGTCACAGACCCACAGCTGGACATCAGGAGGCAGGGCAAACCTGGGGGTGCAGATCTGGGGGGGCCTCACGTGAAGGGGGGGTGCTAGAAGCTCAGGGAGTATGGGATGAGCTGACCCACAGAAGACTACAGAGTCCTCCCTCCCTCATCTGAGGTTCACTTTCCACAGTTTCATTCCCCACAGTCAGGTGAGGTCTGAAAGCATTAAATGGAAAATCCCCAAAATAAACAATACGCAAGTTTCAAATTGCACACCGTTCTGCGTAGCATGATGAAGAAATCTCGTGCCATCTCGCTCCATCCCGCCCAGGACACGAATCATTCCCTTGTGCAGCCTCTCCACACTGTATATACTCCATGCCCTTAGACGCTTATTGTATAGATTTCAGTAAAGGAATTCTCTAGCCTTGTAAAGTATATCATGGTGTTTTCCTTTTTTGCAAGTTTGAAAATGTGGCCCATCTCAGAGAAGCAAAACAGCCTCTGTCCCATACAATTTCACAGGGACCTCAGGATGCAGCCCTCATGGAAATTGTCTGGTTCCCACACTGACGCCTTTCCTCTCTGGGCATTGGCAGGAGGAAGTGATCGGAGGTTTGAGGCCAGGCACCGAATATGAAGTGAGTGTGGCAGCTTCCAGCCCGACGGGCAAAGGGTGGCTCAGCTCTTTGCGGCGTGTTACCACCTTGCCCCAAGGTAAAATGGGTTCGATTCATCAACAGAAGGAAGGTGATGTGTGCTCTTCATTCATCCCTTCATTTCATTATATGTCAACGAGGACCTACTATGTGCCAAGCACTGTACTAGGCTCTGGGAATTCATTGATGAACAGAACAGCTCCTGCCCTCTTGAAACTTAGTGGGATGGGTTAAGACTTCACCTAGTTAATGTGTAGCCACAGGCTGGGGTACGTGCTCCCTACTGTGCTATTAGATTCTCCCAATACAGGGGGGAGGCGCCTAGGAATTCCCTGAGGTGCCTACTAAGTGGCGATCTGATGGTGAGAGGGAATTAAGAAGGTGAGGAAGGGGAGTGGGCGGAGAGATTTATAGGCAAAGGGAACCCAACCAAGGCTCACTGAGGTGGCTGTGGGGCGGGGACAAAGGTGCTTTGATCACAGGACATTGCTCACAAGCAGCTCGCTGTGGAGGGCGAAGCAATTAGGAAGTGAGTAGCTCCCGTGTATCTGAGATCTGTGCCCCAGACTCCGGGGCACTGGGGAGAGGGCACTTCTCCCCCTTGATGCTCATGGAGGGTTTCAGAAAGAATCCTATCTTTTGCCCAAATTTTCAGCTGCATAGGGTTTTGCTAGGAAAGAAAGCAGGAAAAATGTTTCTGGCAGAAGAATTGTATAAATGAAGGCCAAAGGACACGGAAGTCTGGGTAGGAAAACAGCGCCGCAGTTGCCTTGGGGTGAGAGGGTCACGGGTGGCTCCTCCTTCTCTACGCTGGAGGGCGTTTCCCACACGCCCCAGTGTTGGCATGTGCTCTGATGGCCGGGCGTGGGACAGGCACACACACACACACACACACACACTCACTCACATGCAAAGTGGCTCAGCATTCATTTCCCCATAGGAAAATATCAAGTCCAATGTGCAAACCGAGATGAAAGGCTGTTAGGAGGTGGAAGAATGACGAGGTTTTAAAGGGGGCGCACCCTGGTGTGTCCCAAGGTCAGGGGTCCGGGTGAGGGTTGAGTTGAATTCCCAGCCCGCGTCAGGGCTTGGGGAAGAGGGACTCGCATGTTACATGGTGAATCCAGTTGTGGCTGTTGTTTGGTTGGTTGGGTTTGGATTCGGAGGTGGTTCTGAACGGAGATGTGTAGGGAGTAGGAAGCACACGTGTTTTGTTACCTGTTCAGTGTCTCCGGCAGCCAAGTTCCCCAGCCAACTGTTGTTTGCCGTCTTGCCTAGATTCCTGCCTGCCTCCCGCAACGCCCCAACGGCCGCAGGTCACCGTGGTGTCCGAGTCCGAGGTGGCCCTGTCCTGGAAGCCCGCAGAGAGTGCAGGGAGCTCCCCTATTCAGTACTACTCTGTGGAATTCATCAGGTAGGTTTGCGTGCCACGCCCACAAGCCCAATGCAGTGACCTCGGCTACTCCGAGCGTGACAGGGATTGTCATCTCATAGCATGGCATTTAATAGATGACCAGGTCGTGGAGACCTATACTATACTGTCCCTGGGCCAGCACCTGTCCCCCTCCTCTTCAGTGGCAGGTCATCTGGTAAACCTGGTCTCACTCACGGGGCCTCTTCCCCATTTCCCTTCCACCGTCAGAGACTGATCTAGGCTCTAAAACTCGGAGTCGCTGTTGCTAAAAAGCCTGTCTGCCTTTGTCTCCCTGCATTTGAATTGTTGTCCTTGAAGTAAATATTTGATGGTGACTTTTCTGGAGGCAGAGGGGGAAAGCCCGTTAAAAAAACAAGTACAGGCCCTGGCTGGTGTAGCTCAGTGGATTGAGGGCGGGCCTGCGGACCGAACAACCGCGGTTCGATTCCCAGTCAGGGCACATGCTTGGGTGGCAGCCCAGTTCCCAGCAGGGGACGCACAAGAGGCAACCATACATTGATATTTCTCTCCCTCTCTCCTTTCTCCTTCCCTTCCCCCCTAAAGATAAATAAATAAAATCTTTAAAAAAAAACCAAAAACAAGCACAATTCATTGTTTCTGTGTTGCCTTGGGCAGGTTCCTCAGCTTGGTTTCAGTTTTTCTTTTTCCTCATCATCTCTCCCGTCCTTGTTATTCAGTTCCTTCGAGGGCAAATGAGCAATTAGGAGCTTTTCTGAGAGTTTACAGATGAGAAACATGGCTTCTCTATACTGCTATATGTAATTTTAAGCAAAAGGGAACAAGTGAGCAGAAGGAATCTCCGACCTAAGGTCCTTCCCCTGAACTGGAGTGGCCGTAGTCCTTTGAATCGAAGCGCCTGGCTGATGAAAACCGTGTTTGCGGAGCGGTGTTCTTCACAGTCGGGCTGTGTGGTTTGTCTGGGGCGGACCGCTTCACGGAACCACAAAGATGCCTGTTCAGTTCCCCATTCCTGAGGCTCTCGGAAGCTGGACCCGAGCACTCGGCCAAGATCTGATTAGCTCCGCTTCTCTTTCTTGACTTCCAGCTTATTCCTTGGTGGTGGAAACAGTTTGTTTCTCCATAGAGTACTGTTCTGAGTCTCTAACGCCTGGGTACGGAGCTTGTTTCAGGCAGGTTTGAGAGAAGATGAGGCAGTTATGTACTGCCCCTGTGCCTGTCAAGTTCAATGACAAATCTAAATTCTGTGCAGTCTAGGTCCGTGTCACCTCAGCAGGCCGTCTCCATCCATTTCTGTGCTATGCTTTGCCCCTTGGTGGCTTCATTTTTCAGGCAAGCTGTTCCTGTATGGTGGCAAGAAGGCCACCAGGCACTGGAGACTTGCAGTTGATTAATTTAGCTCCCTCTGGAAAAGGGCCCATTGAAGTTTCAATAGTCACTCTCATTGGCCAAGTGTGGGTTCCTCTCTGTTCTCTGAGCCAATCACTGTGGCCAGGGGAGACACTATGCTGATGGGTCAGCACTTGTTGTATTCTGAGCTCTGGCAGTGAGGACTGGTGGCCCATTCCGACCTGAGGTACCTGGGCTGAGAGTTCCAGAGAGTGAAAATCATGGTGCAATTTATGGAAAAGTGAAGAACATTTAAAAAGTTGCCTACCATCCAAGCTCCAGGCCATTGCTCTTCCTCAAGCATAATGTACAGTCCTGCTGTTGGATAGATTTGGTAGGCAAAACCTGGAGTGGACAAGATTCTAATTCTGGTTCCAGTAATACAAGTATAATTCTGGGAAGTCCTAAAACTTCAGCTTTCTCATCTGTAGAACTTGGAGCGACACTTAACATTTCTAATGCACCAGCAAAGCCAAGTACAAGACTTTGAAATTTAGGGAAAAAATGCAGTTTTTCAAAGGTAGCTTAGCAGATGATCTATGTAAGCCCCAGCAAAAGTGATGGTTATCGTTTATTACTAATTTGCACTAAAGCACATATTTTTAAAAATTGGTTATAGTTCTGACATCTTGGTAAAAGTTAGAAATTACAGTTTGTTGTTTTGTGTGTACAAGTGAAAGTAGATTGTAGAAGATAGATCCTGGGTTAAGAATCAGAAGAACTGGGCCAGGTGGCCCTGTGCCTGTCACTTCTCCTGAGGTCTCCGTGCCTCTGATAGTCTGGGGTCCCCCAAAGCAGAGCCAGAGACAGGGACTTGGGTGCTGGTGGTTTATTTTGTTCCCAGGTAGGAATGAGATGTGAGCAGAGTGGAGAAGGAAGAAGGACATAGGAGATGTGTCACTGAAGTCGCTTCTGCACATCAGGGTCTTGGGTGGGAGCTGAAGGCGGCCGAGCTCTCCCCGAAGGGTATAGAGCCCTTCCTCCAAAATGTTCCCATCAAAGGACGGGAGTCGTCGCCTCCCTGACGCCTGTCCCAGTTGATGGGGCTTCCCCCCAGGGGAATAACGCTCACCTCCTGGCCCTGCTGGCACGTGGATCAAGGAGGGGGTGCTGGGAGAGAGGGAGCTGTGACGTAAGCACAGCACCTGCTTGCGCTGGATGCTGGCCCTGCGAGGAGAGTCTGAGCTCACAGGGCCCTGTCTGCTGAGATCAGAAGTGGGAGTCAGGGAGGGGACTCCTTAGAAGTACTGATGACAGTGTCCTTATCTGCAAAGCATGGGTGGCAACATCTTCCAACCTGCTAGTGTGTGGTTAGGAGAATCTAGCGAACTCACATATGGGGAAGGACTTTGTAGACGTTGAAAATCTACAGAAGTGCCAGGTCTGTCTGGCCGTTCTGTGCCTATATTTAATAACTATAATTCCTCCCTAGCAAAAATGCATTTTAACATTCAGAATTGTCTCTAACATTTGAGGGGCTGAGGCCCCAAATTCTTATGTATAAATATTTTAAAATTATTCATCGCTATAACAAACTATTATGTCTTCCCCTCAGAAGACGTAGCTCTGGTCCCGTGACTGCGTCACAGCCTCCATTTCCTCGTCTGTAGTATCCAGTCCACGTGACCCTTGTCACGGGGCCCTGGGTCATGGATTGCACAGTGTTCGCACACAGCAGACACGCAGTGCGTGTGTCTCCTTCCCACCACACCATCAGTTAGTTCCCTTTTACAGAGAAAGAGGTTGAGACCAAGCCAAAGTGACTGGATGGGGACAGAATTAAAATTGGAACCAAAGTCCCCTGACTTCCAGGCCGGTGCTCTGTTCACCAACCACACCTTTTCATGTGGCTTCCACCTTCCAAGACGAGGTGTGGACTTGCCCCCACGGCCCCTCCCCGAGCCCTGCTGACCGAGGAAGTGGGGAGCCTCAGCTTGGGCTGTTGTACCAGGAGGACATTTTCGCAGCTGGTTGTGGCCTTTACTGTTTGGCAGCAAGAAAAACCCTCACGTGTGTTTGGTGAACATCTTAGCATCTGTGTCGTCACGGGTGGGTGCCTGAGGATGTGTGTTTAGAGACAGCTTCCCAGGGCTCCATATCCGAAATCGCCCTCAGTGTGACAAGTCCTGGGGGTCTTCTGTTACTCTGTTTTCCCCAGAGAGGCCTGTTGAATGTTGAGTATTGAATTCCTTTAGCCCAGAGAACCTCCTGTGCACAGAAGCACCCGTGGTGGGTCTCAGTGGGAGCCCAAAGTTTCCTGTTAGATCCAAGAGGCAGACCCCTGGCTGTCCAAGGCTGGGAAATCATGGAAATCAGTTTATGGCCAGAGGTTACTCTCTGAGTTCAATCCTCTCCGTGTGAAGTTTCCATCCGGGGTCAGCCCCTGGGAAAGCAGGTTCCGGTCCGGGCTCCATCTTGGTCACTGCTTGGACATCGGTTGCTCTTGTTTATGAAATGAGAATAATGGCATCAAAGGCATTGTTAGGAAATAGTCTTTAAAATCTTTAAAAATATTTAACTGGCTAATGAGAGATTAACCTGAGAAATTACACTAGACCAGGATATGGGGACCTGACTGCGTATTTGCATTTTGATGGTGTTGCAGAAAGACAGCATGTATTTATGAGGCTGTCCTCAGTGGGGGGTGAGCGACCCAGCCAACTTTTATTTCTCATCCAACTTCTGTCTCCCCCAAAATTGGCCTGGGGCTGTTCATTATCTTTCTTGCTAACAGTAGATTTTTAATTTTTAATCAGTTTGGAAAAGATTTGAAGAGGCAAATTCTAAGTAAGGCTGCAGGCTGTATCATATTTTGCAATGTTTTCAAAATTTTTACCTGCTTTTTTAAAACAGAAGTATCTTGCATTTGTGGTGAAAGAGAACATTTTTAAAGCGATACAGAAAATTTCTTTGTGGGCAGCAACGCTTAGTGTTTATTAAAATACGAGCCCAGCATAAATATAGCTACCTATGTTTTGAAATATTTTAGCTATAAATATCTGAGAAACTTTCCTCCTTCTGCCTAAGAATTTCCCCTGGGTAAATGCCTTTCTCATAAGCAGAAAATATATACTATGGTGGCAATGAAAACCAAAGGCTTGGAAAAATATTCTTCACCCCTGATATTCCAAGTGGGGTGCCATCCTTCACATGTACTATCTGTCAGGTTAGTTAAAGGTGAAAAACCGTTTTTATTTAACTTACCTGTAGTTGTGATCTGATTTGTTAAAATTGCCTCGGAGCTTTGTGATGTCAACTGCTGAAAGGGTAGATTAAAGTTTTCTTTAAAAAAATATTTTATTGGTCATGCTATTACAGTTTTCCCCTTTTTTCTCCCTTTTATTCCCCTCTGCCCTGCACCCCTTCTCCCATCAGCATTTCCTCCCACCCTTAGTTCATGTCCATGGGTCGTACATATAAATTCTTTGGCTTCTCCATTTCCCATACTGTTCTTAACCTCCTCCTGTCTATTTTGTACCTACCATTTATGCTACTTATTCCCTGTACTTTTCTTCCCATTCTCCCCCGCCCCCTCCCTGCTGATAACCCTCCTTGTGATCTCCATTTTGGTGATTCTGTTCCTGTTCTAGCTGTTGCTTAATGATTTTTAAAAAAAATTTCGGTTCAGTTGT